GCATTACAGTGCTCCTCCTCTTTACAGGGAGAAATTAAAGGTGATCTGATAAAGGTGAGCATAATGGATTCTAGCTAGCTCAACACCAGAGATGTGAATTTCTCATGCAATGGATCCCCTCAGAAAGAATGCTGAAATCTAACACATCACCCTGGAGGGAGAAATGGCCTACCTTGGTATTTAAAGGGAAGAGATCTGAGCCAGGCATTTAGCCTAGTGGTTAAAAAGCTGGTTAAGACCCTACCTCCCACATCAGAGTATCTGCATTCACAACCCAACTGTGATTCTTGACTCCACCTCCCTGCCAGTGCAGTGGGAAGCATGGCTAAAATAGTCAGGACCTTGCCACCCAACTGGGAGATCCGGATTGTGTTTCTGGTTCCCAGTTTTGGCCCTAGCCCACCAGTGTTGGTTCTGCCCCTGCTAGGAGTGCCTTTTCCAAAGTGTTTAATATCTCATGACCTCAGAGTCACCACTTTAAAAAAATAGATTTCTTACTTGAGAGGTAGAGTTACAGACAGAGAAAGGGAGAGACAGAGAAAGGTCTTCCATCTGCTGGTTTTCTCCCCAGATGGCCGCAAAGGCTGGAACAGGGCTCTGATCAGAAGCCAGGAGCTTCTTCTGGGTCTCCCATGCAGGTGCAGGGGACCAAGGATTTGGATCATCTTCTACTGTTTCCCAGGCCTTAGCAGAGAATTGGCTCAGAAGAGGAACAGTGGAGACACAAACCAGCACCCATATGGGATGCTGGCGCCACAGGTGGAGGCTTAGCCTACTACACCACAGTGCCAGTCTCAGATTCGCCACTTTGGAAACAGTGACAATTCGATTTACTCATTAGAACATCTATCATATAATGCTTTGTCATCTAGAAGGTGAGCCACAGAGTTGCATCAGTCACTTGGAAGCTGGTTGGAAGTGCAGCTTATGGTTAGCATGTACATTTTAACAACATGCCTAGGTGCTGCTAACTGCCTGGGAGGTGCACAAAGGAGGCACTCAGTAGCTACCATTTTCACCTACACAGTCCCCTGCTTTTCCTCATGACTTCCCCTGCTGTAATTTGCTGCTTTTTTTCCATAGGGAGTTGGGGAAGACCCCGTATAAAGTTGTGTAGGACTGGAGATCACTTGGGCTTTCTAATAGCGGTGATGCTTCAGGTTGTCCAGGCTGATGAAGGCTAGCAATAAGACAGCTGAGCTCACTCACTGGCATGCATATGACTGAAATGCATGAAGAGGAGGGCATTTGACACGGTAGTTAATCACTGCTTGGGATGCCTGCATCCGTATCAGAGTGCCTCTTCAGAGTCCCAGCTACTCCACCTCCGATCCAGCTTCCTGCCAAGGCGCATCCTGGGGGGCAGCATGTAAGAGCTCAAATGCTTGGGTCCCTGCCACCCGCATGGGGGGCCTGGAAGGAATTCCAGTCTTCCGGCTTTGGCATGGCCTAGTGTTGACTGTTCCATAAGTTTTGGAGAGGGAACCAGCACGTAGAAGACCTCTCTCTTTCTGCCTCTGTCTTTCTGCCTTTCAAGTTAAAAATGAATAAAAAGAAAAGGAATCTCCTTCAAAATACTAAAAAAAAACTAACAAAATGGATGGAAACCTGTGCGCTCTCCCTCCCTTTTCGCATCGGACTCATCACAGGCAGTGGTGACTTTACCTTCAGTAAGTCCCCCGGTGCCAATCCCTTCACTCCACCTTCTCATCGCTTCCCTAGAGCAGCCCACCATTAGTTCTTGCTTGCTGAGCTGTCTTTCCCCCTGCAAGCAGACTCATTTTTCTAAATGTAGACTCTGGCCAAGTCCCTCCTCTGTTTAGGAGCCTTCTGTGCTTCTCACTGACCTGGGGATAAGGAGTAAAGTCCTCCAGATCGCTGGCAAAGGCCCTGCATGATCTGTAGAAGATCACCGGAGGCACCCTGCCCTCCTCCCCACCCTGGCCAAGCTCCTCGTGCCTAGTTCACCTTGCAGTTCTTAGACCTTGGGTGCAGGCCTTCCTGCTCCAGGGCTTTTGCAGATGTGTTTTCTCTGTGTACAGCTCCCTTTTAGCCCGAATCCGCTGAGCGCTCAGCTCCATTGCCTTCCCGGGAAGTCTTCCCTGACCTCCCAGAGGGACTAGGCCCCTGGGAGAAGCTCTCTTCACACCCTGTCCTTTTCCTTGTCATAAGAAGAAATAACGCCAATGATGGAATCACAGGTTGTAAGGAAAGAGCCATTCATATGGGCATTTGATGAATGCCAATCAGTGATCCCCAAAAAGGCAAAGGCTGTGTGTGCCTTGCTCAGACCATTATTATTGAATATAAGAACCCTGTTCAGTCCTTTTGAGACTGTCAATGATTACTTGTTTAACAAATGAATTGGTGAAGTCTTTCTAGGAAAGAAAGGGGCAAAGGAGAAGTGACGATGGGAGATTGGAGCCCTCCTTGCTGAATCGTGCACAAAGATGAGGACCTAATTCTCAAAGACTGGGGCTAGATGGATCTCAAAGACAGAGGGCAGCAATTCTCAACCCTGGGGGCTGGTGCTGTGGCATAGTAGGCTGGGCCTCCGTCTGCGGCACTGGCATCCCAGGCAGGTGCTGGTTCATATCCCCGTTGCACCTCTTCAGACCCAGCTCTCTGTTTGCAGCCTGGGGAACGGTGGAGAATAGCCCAAGTGCTTGGGCCCCCACACCCATGTGGGAGACCCAGAAGAAGCTCCTGACCCCGGCTTCAGATTGGCTCAGCTCTCTCCATTGCAGCCATATGGGGAGTGAACCAACAGATGAAAGACCTTCCTCTCTGTCTCTCCCTCTCTCTATCTGTACCTCTACCTCTCAAATAAATAAATAAAATCTTTAAAAAAGTGCCAAGACCAGGGCCTCAGCTTCAGAAACTCTGATTTATTAGGTACAGAGTATAGCAAATGAGCTTGCCTTTCACCAGCTTCCCAGGTTTCTAATGTTCAGTCTTAGTTAAAAGCCACAGATCTAACAGGAGGAAGGATTTACCTAAGGTCAAACGGCTATTTAATTTCCGAGTTAGGACTAAAACCCGACTGCCTGACTGCTGGACTCTGAACTTTATCCTCCCCGGGAAGCTCAGCAGAACCCGTATGGTACAGCATGCTGCTCTGCCTGAACCGAGAAGAAATTGAACAAGGAGGAAAGGAACTCTAATCAATAGGGCTCTTGGGAAACTCTGGAAAAGCAAAACGTGTATGGCTGAACGATGAGGCGTGTCAGAGGTATTAAATCACCCGAACTGGATAAACCAGCACCGTCCTTACACATGCCAGCTTCAGTGCAGTTTGCGCTGCCTCGTATAGACAGCGGAGTTTGTTTCCTGGCATTTCCAATGCCCTGAGATGTGCTGCTCCTACATGTCCTACTCCCCTTACCCGGTCTACACCAGGAACACCCCTCAGGCCCAAACGGAGGTGCATGGACGACACCCTCCTCCAGAGACCCGTGTCTCCCTCTGACAGTCATCTTCCCAGGCAGCCATCTCCACTTAGGGAGAGTCGGTGGCTCTGGAAACACTAACTGTGTACGCACACACACACATGCACACACACAAAGGCACACACAGAATCACAGGAACAGGAAAGATGGAGTGTATTTCTAACCAGGAGCTCATTGAGCTTCTTGGTCCTGTTCTTTCTCATGCTTACCTACCACTGACTTGGTCCTAACACAACTCAGGGTTTTTGCCTCTTGAATACAGGAAGTTCATGTTCTCTTTCTGAGACCAACCTTTTTCCTAGTAGGGGACAGATACACTTACGGCTGTTCTATCCTGCAGAGTATACATTTCCAGCCAACCAGCATCCACTTCTCTCTCTTTTTTTTTTTTTTTTTTGACAGGCAGAGTGGACAGTGAGAGAGAGAGACAGAGAGAAAGGTCTTCCTTTGCCGTTGGTTCACCCTCCAATGGCCGCCGTGGCCGGCGCGCTGCGGCCGGCGCACCGCGCTGATCCGATGGCAGGAGCCAGGAGCCAGGTGCTTTTCCTGGTCTCCCACGGGGTGCAGGGCCCAAGCACTTGGGCCATCCTCCACTGCACTCCCTGGCCACAGCAGAGGGCTGGCCTGGAAGAGGGGCAACCGGGACAGAATCCGGTGCCCCGACGGGGAATAGAACCCAGTGTGCCCGCGCCGCTAGGCGGAGGATTAGCCTAGTGAGCCGCGGCGCCGGCCAGCATCCACTTCTCTTACAAAATTCTTCTCCTAGCAGCCCCAATTTGTAAACCTCCTGTTGGCTACTTTTAGCTCATAGGATAAAAATAATTCTAGGAATTCATGTAAAATCACTCCCAAAGGAAGCTCTATTTGTTGAATTTACATGTTCATGTTCAGAAGCATGCATTAGAGTCTACATGTTCCATTACACACGAAGGAAATTCTTCTACTTCCAACATTTTGTCTCAGCCCTCCGCACCAGCCCAGGTCTCTCTGAGGGACACCACAGAATGGCAGACCCACAACATCAATGGGACCTGAGAGATGATTTGCTTCAACCCGCTGTGCAACCCAGACATATGGCAGATGGTCAGGCAGCCGACACACTGTCATCAATGTGCCCACACGGACAGTCCACTGAAGAGGTTGCAGGCTAGAAGGGCTGTCAGTGTTGCTCTAATGGACCAGAAATGGACTCCGGGTGGACCTGAAGCACAGCTTTTCTCTTCAGATCAACAACAGGGTTTCCCTTGAATATCCCTCAAGAAAGGGCTGTCCCCTTTTCAATTACAAGGAATTTCACAAATGTGAAGGGAGGGTTACAAATACCAAGCATTGTTTCAAAGTGTGTGAGAGGAAGTCCACATCTATCTGGCAAAATGCACCTTGCTCCGTAAGCTCCCTCCCCACCCCCTTCTCCTGCCTCATTCCTACTGGTGTGAACAGGACCTTGCAAACGCTGGAGCTGGAGGGTAACGTCTGCTGGGAGCATTCGTCCGGTCTCCAGAGCCATCACTTTGCGCTACAGCTCCCTTTGCCCTCTCTGAGAAGAATTACCTGCAGCAGCTTCTGTTGGAGGATGGTGATATCTCTAGGGTCAGTGCGGTTGTCGTCACGCAACTTGAGGGGGCGGTAGATGCAGCAGGTGGTGAAGCAGATCATGTACAGAATGTACAGGGAAGCCAGCACGCAGAAGTAAGGCCGCCCGTATTTCTTCCACTTGAAGCTCACCAGTTCCTTCACTGGCGTCTGCTCCAGGATCTGCCGAGCCTGCCGCGAAAGGAGAGGGTGGCTTGGGGAGACCAACGGAGAGAGGAGTGCTGAGCTTCCTACTGGGTCCCAGTGGGGACAGGGTAGCGATATGCCACCATCATTCATTTAGTCAGTCATTTCTTTGAAGCAAGACAACTAGTCAATTTCTACTATATGCTAGCCCTATGCCAGTGCTACAGAAGCAAACACAAGCCACTATAGCAACATTAAACTTTAACTGATGAGTAGTAGTTAAGTGAAGGCAGAATTGAGAAAGAATATTCTGTGAAGTAGCAGCAGTCTCCAGGGCAGGAGAGTGTCGAAAACCCTTGCCCGTTTGCAGATGAGGCATGGCTGGGGGAATGGGAGAATCCATAGGGAGTGGAGGGCAGAAGTTACAGTGGGTGAAGTAGATAACAGCCAGACCGTTGTGCAACAAGAATGTCAAGGCAGGCAGTTTTAATGACATGGGAAGTAGCCGGGGAGTTCAAGCAGGGAAGTAAGTTGATTTGCAGTAGAAGTACCATTAGAGCAGAGCAAAGCCATAGGACGCACAGCAGGTAGTAGGATGTGGTGATAATCTAAGCCAGAGGGGATGGTGCTTTGATATAAGCAGACGGTGAGAGATTAAAGGTATAAATGAAAGGGGATGAGGGATGAGATGAAGTGTCAAAAAAATTAGAAAGCACAGCCAAAGGTCTTAACCATTAGCAAGAAGAAGAATCTTTTTCATTGAAGCTGGAGGGAAGGAAAGAGATAGTGGGCAGTTCTCAGATGCGGCTGGCAGTCCAGGGCAGGAATTGAGGTGGCCATGGACAGCCAGCCTCTATTTGTGCCATAAGGTGGGAGTTTGGGTTTCCTGATGTAACTAAGGGTGAAGGTGGTGAGGAATAAAAAAGAGGGCTAGAAAAGAAAAGTAGCTGGTGCAAGACAAAATTCACTGAAATCGAAGACCAAGGAGGTGTGGTGAAATCCACACGGAGGGACTGGGGCTTCAATTCCTAACAAATTCTGCTCCGAGTATATCTGTTGCCAGAAATATTCCCTGAGCAAGATCACACGAACTGGGCTCTTTCAATCATCCTTCTATTCGTCAGCCTTACCCATCGTCAGTGCTATGTTGTTCTGTGTGGAGGAAATTGTCACGTGGCAGATAAACACTAGACGTCACACCTTGCCACAACTTTGGAAGTGGCTGAAAGCTGGGAGCACTTTCTATTTTACGTCACAGTCTTCGGCAAGTCTTTTCCCTCAGAACACTCAGCACTGCATGCATGATTTATGCACGGCTACATCTCTGGAGGGCTGTCTTTGCCCCTCGTCTTTCCAGTGCCTCCCGAAGACCCAGCGCTAGCACTTCCACTCTAATGTCTTCTCTAGCCCAGCCCAGCCTACGCTACATCTGCTGCCCTGTAGAGAGTACACACCCCCTTATGATATACATTGCACATCATGACGGTCATTGTGGTCAGGGGTCAGAAACAGAGGAAGTTGGCTGCCAAGAATTGTGCTTATTTATGTATTCTTAGTTCCTGAGACTCAGCAGGTACTCCGTATGCTGAACGAGTGAAAGCTAGCAAGCAACTCCCATTGCAGAATTCCTAGCCGGAATGTTAGGAGGAGGAAAGGAAGCAGTAGAGCGGAGCAGTGGGAGTGTGCAGTTCTGAAGGCAGTGTTGCCTGGATGTCTTAACACAGGACCCAAGAGACTGTTCTCCCTCCTCCTACACTGAGGCTGGGGAGTGTCTGGAGCCCAGGCTCTGTGCAGACACCAAGTCCCCTGACATGATGGCCCCTGTTCCCCCTTGACAGCCATACCTCTCGCTTCTTGGAAGAGACCACGAGCTCTAGAAAAGACAGCTCCTCTCCCCAGGAGTCGATCTCCGTGAGGTCATAGAGTGTGGAGGTCAGTGGCCCACAGGTCCACTGGACGTGCTTCCGCTTCTGCATCAGGTGCTGGAACATCTGAGGGACACAGGCAGGTGGAGGGCCAATGGGCAAGAAGCTGCTGTAGGGGGAACAACATGGCTGCACTTGGCCAGTCGCTCTCCCTGGGGCAAACAATGGTGAGGAATCGGGGAACCTCTGCTTGTATAAGCTCTCTTGAGGGGAGAGTGATCTTTCTTTCCACAACCCCATAAGCTCTGGCTACCATGGCAGGTATTCTAAGGTGAGCCTCAAATCCTCAAGATATTACTGAAACAGTAGGAAGTAAGAGTTCTCCACCCTTTTGGGGATTTGGGGGACAGGGGTCCTTACGGAGCCAGCACAGGGCTAGGGGTGCCCTCACCACAGTGTTGCCCTCCACCCCTGCCAGCTTGAAGGGAGTGAGGCCCTGGTGGTTGGGCACGAGTTCCAGGGACTGCAGGTGGTCACTGTGCTCATCGTAGGACAGCAGCAGGTTGTACATCTGGCAGGCAAAGGTCTTGTTGGGCTGCAGGATGAGGATGTGCAGCACCGTGTTTCCTGGGGGAGGACACGAGGGTTCATGTGGACACTGGCCTGAGTCCCCAGTGGCCCCACCAACTCCCTGGGGCCAGCCTCTTCCTGCCCCACTCCCACACCCTTGCAGCGTCCCAGCCACCGCCTGTCCAACTCTTACCCAGGGAGTCCTGGGCCCGGATGTCGGCTCCGTGCTCAATGAGCAGCCTCACGATCTCCTCGCTGCCCACACAGGCAGCAAAGGACAAAGGGTGCTCTCCTGGGGACACAGAGGGACACATGGCAGGAGGGAGCAGGACAGAGAGCTGGACTGCCCCAGGTGACTGCCTTCTGCACCCTACTTCTCAGCTCAGGCTTGGTTAGAGACCCTTGTCCGGCTGGTGCAGAGATCCATGGGAAGAACTGGCCTCTGGTTTTAAGCCCTTCCTACTACATGACAGATGGAGCTGAGAACAGGGCCCCCGCTAAGTCTACCGGCCCTCTGCCCCTGCCCACCTCCCCACCTCCCCTTGCTCCCCGCCCAGCCCTGGCTCTCACCATAGTAGATGAGGTTGTGGGGACTGCGGCGGAAGGCAGCACCTGTAGCTCTGGCAGAGACGCTGGCCCCACGAGCAAGCAGTGCGCGCACCAGGTTCAGGTTCTGGTTCATGACAGCGATGTGCAGTGCAGTCTGACCTGGCCCAGAGAGAACCGTTTGCCTTGGGGTTCTGTCTCTGTGCCCAGTTCTCTCAGGGGCGCTACTCCCTCAAGGCCCATACAGGAGATCCCTGGCACTCCCTGTACAGACTCCGGGCTTGGGCTCTGCAGAGTGGCTGGGCACCGAGGGCCTCAGTCCCTTAGGTGTCCAGATCAATTTCCCTACCTCTCATCTATTGACAAAGGTGGGGGATGACTGCTGTAAAAAGAATCACTGTAGTATTGCTATGAGAGAAAGAGATAGAGACTTGGTTTCCCGGGCCTATGGGAGGACATAAAGGAAGTCATTTTTTGACTGAAGTGAGCCACAGACGCTCAAAGGCAAGCCCAGGACTCCATAGCTTGAGGCAGCCTTCCCGCTCAACTCTCCATCACTACTACCAAGCCCACCCTTCGGAGGCCAGTTTTAAGAAATGACAGCCGATTGCCCCTTCCCGTCTGCACTCTGAATTACCAGTCTCCTCACCTACAAATGGCTCACACAGGGCGGGCTCCTTGGCCAGCTCTGGGGCGGCCTCCATCAGCAACGTGGCGGCTTCCAGGTTGTCATAGAGGGCTGCGACGTGCAGCGCCGTCTCCCCCACAGCTCCTGGATTGGAGAAGGATGGGAATGGAAGAAGGGGTTCCGAGACTCCCAAGGCCCTTTTGTGAAAACCGTCCACGTCCTGGGGTGGAGGGGCTGGTACTTCTGCCCCAGCCTCCACCCCATTAAACTCAGATCCCACCTCTTTGTTGAAAATCACAGGACTGGTTCAGCAGAAGTATCTTAAGGAGACGCAGATCATTTTCCTTGGCCGCCTGCAGCAATGGAGAATCTCGAATCCTGGGGGAGGATGGCCACAAGTGAGGTTGAGGCTGAGTCAGGATGCCAGCAGCAGAGCGGATCAGACCATCTCCAAGACAGACTCAACTCTCATACAGTGTGCAGTCATGTTGGAAAGGCTTGTCCACTGGACTCGAGGGGCTGGAGGCAGACTTGGGCAAGGGCTGGCCTCCGGACTTCCCCCATGATTGGGTTCATGATAGCTGCTCCATGGGAGTAGGCCTGGTGCAGAAGGTCCACAGCGGGGACAGCCTGGGGTCTCGAATGCTGGCTGGGGTATCCCGGGAGGAGGTCCCTAGGCCTGGCTCATCTCCTCTAAGCTGAGCACGTATTTCTGGGACCTGAAGAGCTAGAACAGTGGGATGAAGGGGCATTCCCGTCAGGGTTGCCTAGAGGCGAGGCCTCCTCAACCTGCTCTCTTCAGCCAGGGGGAGATAGAGAGACCAGAACAGCCAGGGATAGGACAGGTCGGCAGACCTTACGAAATCCAAAATCCACAGTATTTGTGAGCTACTAAAGTTCTGGCTTCTCTTTTAGGCTGTTTAGATAGACAGCCCCACAGGGGGTGGAGAGTTTGGGAGCTGGGTAGAGGAATCTGTGCCTTTTGGACTTTAGCTTTAGGTGCTTAGATGCAAGGGCCTAAACGTCTCTTTATAACTGAGGAGGAGGGGAGCATCCGGCAGCCCGGCACGGGAGAAGCCTGGTCGCAATATCCACCCTGTGGGACCTCTGCCGGTTAATCTCTGTTTCTGCCCCTGCCTGGATTTGAACTAACCCGAGATAAAGCTAGAGCCAATCCTGCTAGACACAATTGTGTTGGCTCCAAAGGGGGTGTAGGGTCTGCAGGTTGACGGCCATGGAGGAAGAGAGAAGGCAGCAGACTGGTGAGTGGACCCCTGGACATCCTCCTTCCCCTAAACTCCTTATTCCTAGTAACCCCAGGGGCCAGGGGAAGAAGAGGTTTTGTTTGAAGAAGAAGTCTTTATCTGAAGGTCTGCTCAGGTCTGATTAGGAAGGTGCTCCCAGGAGTCAGCCCCTGCCCTGCCTATCTCAGCACCAATTCTGATGGGCCATGGGTTCATGGCCAGCCCAGAGTGACCAGCACTGGGATTCTGAGTTCTCCCTTGTCCTAAGGCCACTAGACAAAGCCCCTGTCCCTCCATTTCTCCAGTTCCACTGGCCCTCGATAAAGGCAGGGCCCGCTCTAACACAGGAGATGGGGAGGTCAAAGGTCCCATGGCAGGGCCTGAGGTGGGGGTGAGTGAGGAAGCACAGAACCAGCCAGAGGTTCTCAGGGCTGAGCCTGGTGTAAATCTAAATACAGAATTCCTTGTTCAAAATTGCTGCGAATTTCAAGACAGTGACAGCAGGGCACTGAACCAAGCACAGGGGCTGATGCCTGCTCCCCTCCCCTCCTCCAGGCAGCTCTTGGATGGGAGGCACGTGGCCCCCCTTGGCAAATCCCTGCTCAGGCTGCTTTTCCTGGGGCTGGAGCTCAGGGCTGCCTCAGGTGGACCAGCCCTGCCTGAACAGAAAGTGCCCCAGAGCAAGCAGAAGCCTGCTCAACCTACTGGGCTGCAGGGCCTGGCACTCTGCACACAGTAGGCTCACGAAAAGTGGTTGAGCTCAGGACTCTGCAGGGTCACCTGGGTTGCCCTCCTCAGCTGGTCAGCTCCCAGTGTTGCAGGAAACTCTCCTCTCCATTTTCAGGGAAAGCAACTTGTGTTCATAGTGATGCTAATTCCTTAGTCTTTGTTCTACCTACAAGTCCTCCAAACAAGGCACTTCAAAACCCAAAAGCTGCAGCTGGCCTTGTAGAGCCCACAAGGCCAGCATCCCCTGTCAGAGTGCTAGTTCCAGTCCTGGCTGCTCCTCTTCCAACCCAGCCCTCTGCTAATGTGCCTGGGAAGGAAGCAGAAGATGGCCCAAGTACTTGAACCCCTGCCACCCACAGGGGAGACCAGGATGGAGTTCCAGGCTCCTGGCTTCATTGAGGTCACTTGGGGAGTGAACCAGCTGATGGGAAGTCTTTTTCTCTCCCTGTCTGTCTGTCTGTCTCTCTCTGCTTCTTTCAAATAAATGAGATAAATCTTTAAAAACATCCCAGATTCCTACCCCTTTCCCAGTCATCCGCTGCCCAGCAGCCTGCTCCTGCCTGCTCACACCACCCATATACTTCTGTGTCTTCTGTATGGTCCTTTTTGGTCCCCTCCCACCCCCTTTCCACAAGGTAGACAGAGGAGAGCCAGATATGTCATTCAGATCTATATCCAAAGTCTCCAATGTGGCCACAGCCCCACCACCACTAAGAGGGGCCAGCTGTGGTTTTGCAATGGGTGGCCACAAGGGAAGGGGATATCCAAGTGATGGGCATGGGATTCCTGGTGCTATATCAAGGGAATATCCCCAAATGACTGAGAGCTGTGAGGATCAGTGCAGAGGAGGGCACAGTATCCCAGGGGTCCTACCTTTCCTGTTGTAGCATATTGACCCGGTCCCGGTACTGTTCCCAGTCTTGTTCTCCAACCGGCCAGGAGATCAGAAGTTTCTGCAGTTGGGCCCAGGGCCCCTTTGCCTTGGGTGGACAGGCCCCCATGTCTGCTCCTTGCAGGCACTGGCAGGTTGTGGGAATGTGCTAAGAGGAACAGGTCTAAGATAGTAGCAGCTGAGGAGGAGGCAGAGCCGGTTGGGGTCTGGACTCCCTTATGTGTGTGCAGCGAGAATGTGCGGTCTTGTGTGCGTGCGTGTGTGTAATATGTGCATGTGCACTGCACCAAGAGCACTGGCTTCCTTGCCTGCTGAGAGGTGCTTTCCTTGGAGGGGAGGAGCTTGCTCCAGAACCTACCCTGGGGGCACAGCTGGGAGGAGGAGGGAGGGACTACACCGTTCTTGGCAGTGGGCTGGGGCAGCTGAGATGGGAGAGGCTGAGGGGTGGGGCTGAGGAATTTGAAGGGGAACAAGGATAGAACCTGGGAAGGTGAGTCTCACAAACAAGGTGCCCAGTGAATGGGATGCAGGTGAGTAGGAAGCGAAGTCCCAGGCTCAACAATAAGGCAAGTCCAGGGCTAAATTCTGGTTCCTTTTCCTTATAAAGCGGGTGAACTCTCTGAGTCTTTTAACTCACAAAACCGGGATAGCAATTCCACGCTCTCCTGGAAGTGTTTGTAAAGCACATCACAAGGGGCTGCTTCTGAAACCAAACCCCCATAATGTAAAAACAGGACCCGGCCTCTTGTTTGTCTCCCTTAGCCCAAGGCGTCCTTGCCTACCCTTTATCAAAAGGAAATCACTGACTTAAGGGAGTTATCCAGCCTTAAAAGGTTCTAATCACCAGACTCAAGGAATCATTTGCTTCTCCAATTGATAAGAACCTTGATGGCCAGTGTTGTCCAGGGGTGGTTTGTATAGGGGAATTCCAGGTCTGGACAGAACGCAGCTGCCACCTTCTGGTTACCCCCCAGACCAACCAGAGCCCACCTGGCCATCATAAATTCCCGAAAGAGCACGGCATGACTGGCCAATCAAATGAAGGCCATGAGCACCACTGACCAACCAGGAATGTGGACATGCACTGATCACATTCCTCTCAGCCTCAATTTCAGTCTATAAGAATCTTCACCCCTAACTCCTCGGGTAGCCCCAGATTTAGGCGATAGCTGCCTGGCTCCTTGCTCTGCACTTTGACAACAAATACCTACTTTCTTCCACCTCCCCGATGTCACAGATTTGCTTTCTGCGTGTCGGCTGGAGCAACTCAGTGTGGGGATTCTACAGCAATGCCTCCATTGGAGTGCTGTTCGCGACACTTCTCTGAGCCCTACCTCTTTGACCTCAGTCTTGTGATGAACTCTGTCCTCAAACCTGCTGCCCTGTCAGGTCGTACTTCACAGCGGAGTGTCTGCCCCCTCCCAGGTCACCCCTCTCTGAAGCTTCTCATCCCCCTCCACCCTCCTGGAGGCATGAGGACACAGATCAGAGTGGACTCACTGGGTGCCCAGAGTTTCCACGGTGAGAAGAGAAAGAAACTGAGCACAGAAATCCTGATTCCTGTATATGTGTTCAAACAGCTCACTACACCCCATGCATTTGTACAGTTAGCTTGGGTTCCGTGTTTGGGATTCTTTCCAGGAATGAGACAGTAGGAAGAATGTGTAAAGACAGCATCTCATTATTTTATTACGTGATAGTTTGTATTCATCCTCAAAGAGGTACTGATATCTGTGAAGGAAACAAGCCCTGCCTGCTCTGAGTACAGAGAAGGAGTGATCATCCAAAATCCACGGCTAGTGGCTGAACTGGAACTGGCTTTGAACTCAAGATCTCAGCTCTGAGTGACTGTAGGGCTTCTTACTTCTTGGGAGCCTTCTGGCTATAGGGATGTCTCCATGTGTGGGACTGTCCCCTGGGGGTCCTCACAGGGTGACTGCCCCCTTCTTTTGCTGTAAGAAAGACCCACTCCAGAGATTGAAGAATGGACAAAGCAATCTTTAAGGAAGGACAGGAATGGTACAGAAAAGAAGTGAGGAATGGAAAAGGAGGCACCTGCTATGTGGAGGAAAACTGTTCTCACCCAGGCAGTGGGGAGGGGGTCACCTTGTGGGAAATTTTTCTGCCTTGCTGGGGGTTGGGGCTGTGTGGGTGGTAATGGTCTCTGGAGCCTGAAGACTTACAGTCGAAGGCGATGGAGGGAGCGATAAGGTTGAGGTGGGGGTTGTAGATGTGCAGATAAGCAGGGTCAGGCCGGGAAAGGAGCACCTGCCAAGGAAACACTCAACCCATAAAGCCAATCCTCCAGGGGGTGGGAGCCGGAGGGGCTGGTGGGGGGTGGTGGAGGCTGGCCCCGGTCAGAGCCGCCCAGAGCAGGTGTGTGGGGCTCACAACCAAGGACATCGACCCTGGGTATGGGGGGTCCGATGTCACCCCTACCACTGGCCTTCTCTGCCTGCACTGACCTCTGCAATGTGAGGGGCACAGACAAGGAGCCTGGGTGGGAAGCCAGTTGTCCCTCCCATCCCAGCAGAAGGCTCTGGATTCAGTGTCTCCTCTTCTCTCCCCTCCCACGCCATCTCGATACCCTGCATCACCAGCCCATTTTCCCTTTGTCTCCTCCCTTTCTTCTCAGCCCTCCCTCCGCTTTCTGCAGACAAGGACACCTACTGAAACCACACCACTATGATGTAAAAGCAGGACGCAGCCTCTTGTCTGGCTCCCTTAGCCCAAGGTGTCCTTGCCTTAGTACACTGACTTGAGGGAGTGATGTGGCTGGCCCTACAAGGTTCTAATCCCCAGATGCAAGGAGTCATTTGCTTATCCAACAGGTAAGAACCTTGATGGCCAGTGTTGTCCTGGGGTGGTTTGTGTAGGAGAATTCCAGGTCCTGGCAGAGTGCAACTGCTATCTCCACATAACCCCCAGACCAACTGGAGCCCATGTGGCCACCATAAATTCCCTAAAGAGCACGGCACCACTGACCAATCAAAGGAAGGTCAGGAGCACCACTGGCCAACCAGGAGCTTGGACACGAGCTGACCATGCACCTCTCGGGCCCAATCTCAGTCTCTAACAACCTTCACTCCTACCTCCTCAGGGAGCCCAGGAATTAACAGCTTCCTGGCTCATTGTTTGGCAGCATCACAACCTTTCTACCGCAGGAGGCAGCTGTCCTACAGATGATGCCCGCAAGTCTAGTGCATATTGGTCACACCAGCCAGTGCCCAGGAGAGCTCACTCCCCTTAGTGCCAAAGCACCCTGACCTCTTCTTTTGACTTGGTGAGGAGCAGGGGAAAACATAACGTCTGGATTTCCACTTTTGGGAAGTACTCTCCCACTCCCATGCTCATAGCTCTCTACAGAAAGGAGTCGGGTATTACACTTTAAAACACTGGTGGGGATTATTGTCAGATGGTGGAATTACTACACCTTTTTATTTTTTGTACTTTTTCCTATTTTATACTTTTATAACATTTTGCTGCAAGGATTTCTTTCTTTCAACACAGGACATTAACAGGTGGATGGGAGGAAATGGAAATAATGGTGGTCAGTATGACTTGGTTCTTCCCACTCCAGCTGCCCTACCCCAAGACACTCCCTCCCCCGCCTTCCCCGCCTTCTACCCTTAGAGCTGGGGAGGGCTGCTCTCTTTCCAGGGAACCAAGAGTCTCGCTCCTCCCCCAAAATAGCCAGGAGGAGATATTTCTTTTCCACTGAAGCATGTTCTCTGGATCTGCAGGTCAATGGGTGCAAGGCAGGGGTGAGCAGGGTCACCCGCCTATTTGCATCTTTCTGTCCTCACTGTTAAGTGACCTCCCATCCTGCTCCTGGCTTGAATCATACACGAGAGATGCAGGATAGTCTTCGTGTGAGTGTGCTCTGCTAGCCAGGAAATCACAGGGAGAAGGGATCTTGTGCTGTGTTTTTATCTGCAGTTCCCCTTGCAGGAAGGGATGTGTCGCTGCATTCATTCTTGTCCCTGTGTTTGCATGTTTCATCCAGATGCAGCACGCATGGATGAGCAGGGTGATGTGAGCTGGCTGCAGTGGTTCAGGTATGATTAGACTCTTCCCACCTGTCCTTGCACATGTGTATCTCATGGCGAGTGTCTGTGTCTGGTTCTCCATGGAAGGCTCTGTTAAAAAATGAAGAGTGGAGCTGGCACTGTGGTGTAGAAGGCTAAGCCTCTGCCTGCAGTGTCGGCATCCCATATGGGCACCAGCTTGTACCCTGTCTCCCCTCTCCCCCCACAGCCATCTCTATACCAGAAAGCACGTAGTGATTAGCCACTCCCTCTTAAGCCAACAAGTCTGTTCACAAGGTTCATGGGTAGGATAGGCATCCTTTATTTGGAATACTCAACCTCCTACCATACCTCTTCTCTGCAAGCTCTAACTTATACCAAGCAAGGAGCTTTTCCCTCTGTATCTAAGAGTATAGGACAACATTAAATGAAAGAGGAGGGGGCAGGCTTTTTGCCTAGTGGTTAACATGTCCCTGTTTCATATCAGAGTGCTTGGGATCAATTCCCAGCTTTGCTCCTGACTCCAACGTCCCGCTAACAGACATTGTAGGAGGCAGCAGGTGATGGTTCAAGTAGCTGGGTCTCTGCCACAAACATGGGGCATCTAGACTGTATCCCCAGCTCCTGGCTTTGGTGCTGGCCTGGCAAAGCCTCCACCACTGCAGACATTTGGGGAGAGAACCAGCCAATGGGTGCCATGTCTATTTCTTTCAAAAGAAAAATGAGGACAGAAGGTATTTCAGCTTGGAAATACAGGATGTCAAAGGCCAGGAAAGGGGGTTAGCTGGGGGAGGATAAGAAAAGAATAAGAAAGTGGGCCAGTGTCGTGGTGTAGTGGGTAAAGTAGCTGTCTGTGACACCTTCATGCCATGTGGGTGCTGGTTCTTGTCCTGGCTGCTCCACTTCCAATCCAGCCCCCTACTAATGGTCTGGGAAAAGTGGCTGAGGGTGGCTCAAGCACTTGAGCCCCTGCTATGCACATGGGAGACCTGGATAAAGCTCCTGGCTCCTGACTTCAGCCTGGTCCAGCCCTGTCTGATTGCAGCCATTTGGGGAATGAACCAGTGGGTGGAAGACATCTCTCTCTCTATATATATCTCCTTCTCTCTGCAACCCTTTCAAATAAATAAATATATCTTTAAAAAAGAAAAAGAAAAAAATGAGAGAATTATTTCTGCTGAGGCAGAGAGAAAAAGTACTCCATCTTCCTGTACTTTTTCTGTGTCTCTTTCTCTCTTAGACACACACACACACACACACACACACACGCACACAACAGAGGGTGTGTCCTTTCCCATCATCCCTATGCCACTCCCCTTCTTCATTTTTAAGAAAATTTGCTTTTATTCCTTGAGAGGTAACAGTTTCAGACAGAGAGAGGGAGAGACAGAGAGGGAGGTCTGGTTCACTGGTTCACTCCCTGAAATGGCCGCAATGGTCGGAACTGGGCCAATCTGAAGCCAGGAGCTTCTTCCAGATCTCCCACATGGGTGCGGGGGCCCAAACACTTGGACCATCTTCCCCTGCTTTCCCAGGCCACAAGCAGGGAGCTGGATCAGAAGAGGAGCAGCCAGGGTACAAGCTGGTGCCCATATGGGATGCCGGCACTGCAGGCAGAGGCTTAGCCTTCTATACCACAGTGCCAGCTCCACTCTTCATTTTTTAACAGACCAACCCAAGTTTCTCACCCAGGACTTGAGGGTACTGGCTTCTGCTCTGCTTTGGGCTTCATCTGTGGAAGCCACTCTCCTTGGAGAAAGGCTATGTGGAAGACTGTCTTATTTAGAATCAAGATCCTGCGCTGTCCTTTGATGTCTGGGTGATCTTCAGTGAAAGGTTACGTTTTGCCAGGTTCCTCACCTATCTAATGGGCGTGGGAACACTACCACCTTAGAGTCCAGCTCTGTGTGTATCCAGTGACGAGTGGGTGTTAAAGCACTTTGCGAACTCTTAAGTCGTATCTGCTGCTGCCTACAGGCTGATCCACTATGGTCATTCCCAGGCCTCTGCCAGCTACCCTCCATTCTCTTGCCTGGCCATGGAATGTGCTGGTGAGCTAGAATGTGGGTCTGGCCCAGGGCTGTGATGTCACAGAGCACATGAGGTCAGAGGTCCTATGGAAGAGAAGCAGAGAAGACGGCACTGGGAAAGGGTGAGGGCCAGGACAGGGACGGGGCAGGAGGTGGGGGCGCCTGCTGGGCAGCGGGGAGCAGGGGAGGTACCAGGTGGTGGATGGGCACCCATGACTCCCCTGGGCTCCCAGCTCTGCAGGACTGCTTTCTTGGCAGCCATCCTGTTGCTGCTGTGGATGGGGGAAGTGAGGACTCAGAAGGGAAGCCCAGACCCTGATGGGAAGAACCAGGAAGAACAAATATCCTCTGAAGGTAGGCAAAGAGGAGGGCACAGTGTTTGGAGGTAAGGGTCAGACCACCGATAACTGACGGGGCAGGTAGATGGAACAGAGACTTGGGTTATAAGACGCAACCATGCCCCCTCCCCCCCATTGTCGTGGTGTGAAATAACAGTATCAGGTAAGAGTCTGGAGCAGGCGTTCTGAGCCAGGGACACACTGTGGGCCAGTGGAAATGGCATGCAACCTCTGCCTATGGGAGGAAGATCTTTGGTTTTCTTCATGTTTTAAGTTGGTGCCTCATTCGCTAAATGATGTAACACTTTGGAGGAGGCAGCTCATGTTGGAAATGAGGTGTGTGTAAGTTTGAGTGGGAGTTATGGCTGAACCCAGATCAGAAGCGTCCTTTGGATGGAGCATCGGCTGGGTGGTCAAGGTCAAGCGAATGTGGCAATCGGGCAAAAGCCTTTGGTTCCCCGTGCCCCCCTATTCTTTCTTTCCCCTTTCTGGTCTGGGTTGGGGCTGGGTTGGGAGCAGGTCAGATCAGGGCTGTCCATCCCTGCCCCTCTCCCCTGCTCCAGACCAGAACCAAGAGATGTATGAAGAACGCTTCGTGGCCTCATCGGTGGGTGAACTCTGGCAGGTGGTGGACATGGCCCAGCAAGAGGAAGACATGACATCAGAGTCCGCAGTTATCCGCGACCACCTCTTTGACCTAGCCTTCTGCTTTAACCTGGCCAGCATCATGGTTTTTTTATGAGGGACGCTGAGGCTGAACTGGTGGCCTGGTTCCTGGATGAGGACCTGAATGTCCACCTCCGCTTCATGATCGCTTACTGACCCCACCTCCCCAGCGGGCTCCAGGTCACCACTCCCACAAGAGACACACACATGGCTCCCTGCCCCTTCTCGCTGGCTGCGTCTCACCTCAGGGTACAGCATGAGAGACATCTGTCATCGCCACTGCCTGACTGCCTCCCCACACCCACAGCTTCATCCAGGGCCAGAGGCTCAAGACTCATCCCACCCCTCCCCCACACTTCTCCTGGCTTTGTTCAAGATAGCAGATTAGGGGGAGCAGACAGTGACAATAAAATAGCAATAAAATCTCAGAAACAATTGGGAGCACTTTCTGAGATTTCACCCACGCCCTAGGTCTATGACTGGCCTGTGTAACTGCATAACTGCTGATCCACTGGCTGAACTTCAGACCCATCAGTTCGTCAACCACTGGTCCCTTTGCTTACGGTATCCAAGGAACCGTTCTTGGTATTTTCCCCTCTTATCTTTTCTGACTTCTAAGAATAGAACATAGTAGGAAAGAGTTACCAAAAATAGGCATACACCAAGTATCAGCTTTTATTTGGGGAACGAGAAGGGAGAGGAAAGAATTGCCCTGACTCCCTGGCAGGCCCAGGAGGGTTTGCTACATTTGCGTTGTAGTCTTTAGGCAGCCAGGTTACCAGAGTTGGCAGCGGCTGGAAGGGTTCAGGAGGGTACCACGTGGACAGTGGAAATATCTGGCAAAGGCTGGGATCTGGCTCAGGGGTCCATGGATGCGAAGACTGGGAGGGCTGTGAATATCCTGGGAGTCCTGGGGGCTGGGCTCCCTACACATCACCTGATGAGGAAGAGAGGCCAAGGAATGGTAAGAAGTGGAACAGGTTATGACAGGGCAATAGGGCAAGGCAAGCCTGGTGACCAGGGGCTTGTGAGGGGGAGGAGTCAAAGGGGGAGCCAGTGCAGGACGCTTAAGGGCCACACGGAGTATTTGCCATCTGCAGTTCATTTCACCTGGTGCTAGGAGTCCAGGGATGCCTGGGCTGTGTAATGATACATTCGTAAGTGACAGAGAGGTGAGGGACTCTTTAAACCTGGTGGGGACTCGGAGATTGTCTGCTGAGAGAGCACAGGTACTCAAGGGAGTTATGTCAGGCTGGAACCACACCTGGGAGTGAGGTCTCAGGGGAGAGATATGGTACACAGCCCACTGCAGGCCCCTTTCCAACAGAAGTGTATGTAAAGGTCAGGGCTATCTCATGGAGAGGGACACGGGAGCAGAGTTTTTCTTCTTTTCGATGGAGGGGTGCTGAGTTTGGTAGAAGAACCTAAAGCAGCCTGGAGGATGGTCTGAAAGGTGCCAAGTGAGAGTGGCTGTGGCAGAGGGTTGTGGGTATTTGAGGAGGGTGCTTGGGGAATGAGAGTTTTTCCGAGCTAATAGGGTGGAAGGCAGCAGCTGCCTACCTGGGCGTAGCTTCGGAAGAAAAGCTGATGGGAACTGAGGTCCTGGTTGGGCAGGGTGGTCTCCCCACGGTGACGGATCAGACTCCTGCTGTATGCCTGGTGTGGGTGTAGACAGAGTGGCTCTTGGGCTCCAGGCCCACAAACACTTGGATTTATGATGTCTTCAATACCCAAACCCACTGCTCGTCCCTCTTTACCACACCTGCACTGGCACACTAGTCCAAGCCAGAAGGAAGGTATTTGTCCAAATACCTACAAATGTCCTCTCCAAAATGGGGATCTTTGAAGTAGGAGAGGGATCCCCACGCCTCGTCTGTTCAGCTGGTGAAACCAGACCATGGTCCTTGGCAGGTGAGTTACCTGGAACGCAATGGAAAGCCCCCCCACATCTGCGGCATTCTTCAGGAACGTGGTAGAGCCATTGAAGGAAGTTCTGCCGGGTAATGGGAAGGCAGCATAGTGGCGCTCCAGGCACAGGGACGCCTCCTGCAGCGCACGGGTGTCACAGTTCAGGCAGCCCCCGGGGAGCACTGTTGAAAATGGGACACAAGAGTGAACTGGAGGGGCATGGGGAGGCACCACAGGCTCATCTGGCCCCCGGGGCACTGCAAAGTTGCCGCAGTCCCCAGATAACCTTCCTTTCTCCCCTGTGAGGACTTGCTTTGGGGTCTCTGTGGCCCCACCTCCTGGTGGTCCCTGTTACTCACAGAGCTGGTAGAAGATGTGCAGAAGCTTATGTGCCATGATGCTGCCAGCAGCGCCAAAGTTCACGGCTCTAGAGAGACAAGAGCTTGTTGTACCCCCGGAATCCTTCAATTCCCCCAAACACAAGTCCTGTCCATCATAATACCAGTCAATCTGGGAAGCTCCCTGCCCACCCAAATGGAACAGCCAGTACCTGGGGTAACCGGGGTGGAAGAAGGGAGGCTGGAGGAGTCCCGCCGGGAAGACTACAACATGGTCAGGCATCGAATAGTAAGCATTGACTCCCCAGGGGGACACCTGCCATCTGTGGGGAGGACACACATGAACACAGCTCCATCATGGACACCCCCCAACCCAGGCACATGCATTCCCTCACAGCTACTCCCAGTGTTTCTACTGCCTGCCCTGCACCCTGGCTTGATTCCGTACTAACTGTAGAGAGTTTGTCTCTGGGAAGGGGTATCTGCGTCTCCCCTGCTCTCACACCTGTGGTGAGGGAAAGGCTCCAAGAAGCTCTGGACAATTCTAGCCCGGAGGGATCGGACACAGCTCAGGACGGACTGCAGGAAGCTGGGTCCAAGTTGTATCTGTGAAGGAGGCAGGAGGAGACGTGGGCACACAGAGAAATATACAGACGCACACTGACATACACGGATGGGTACGTTTGAACCCAAACCAGTAAGTTTTACCTGCAGACACTCACCACACCTCGTTACAGATAAGCTGCACATGGATTAGCACAGACAAGCACACACAAGCAAACCATAGAATACATGCATGCTTTTGTGTGTGTGTGCACTCACAGGCTTACATGCCTGAAAAAAGTCCATTCTCTGCCAAGACTCATACAGTGGACACCCCCCATAGAGCCCAGCCAGCACCGGGGCAGGGAAGTGGGTGGCTAGAATCATCCAGGAACAAAGGATTGTCTGTCAAAGACTCAGTGAGCCAGAGAGGTGACAACAGGACTGAACAGGGGCTGGAAAGGGCAGGGACCCACGTCGCTGTATCCTTGTTTGGCCAGTTCTGGCTTCAGGGCCCATTCTGGGGCCCCTATCTTCACCTGCAGGTGGGTGACCTGGGAAAGACACACAAGGTAGCAGAGAATTAGCATTCTCTCTGAGTCTGCCAGAGGGAGCTTTTCCTGTTCACTGCCTGACCCAGCCTTGGACATTGTCACCGGATGTGCACACAGCACATACAGCATCTTCAAAACACTCCAGGAACATGCACGTTAGCTTTTGCTTTCATTTCCCGCAACTTCAGAATTCGCCCTCGTGTTGGCTTTTGCACCTGTGGTCTCCTCCAATCACCATCCCCTGAGCTAATTCTCGCGTCCACCCCTACATTGCTCCCACACTGGCCTTTGCCCCTGCCCTTACCCTGTCCTGGGCCTCTTTCCTGGTCTCCTCATTCATCCAGGGAAGTCTTTTGAGGCGAGCAATGAGGGCATCCTTGATTGCAGTGAATAATTCCATGGCCTGTGGGGTGAGGGTCAGGGATAGAAAAACAACATCTGAAGCAGCCTTGGCCCTGGCCCTACCCAGAGCACCTGATTTTAGGGAGAGGCCATGATCCCAAGGAATGGCCTGGGCTAGAGTAGCTAGCAGAGAATGGGGGTGGGGTGGGGTGGGTGGGTGGTGAGAATGTTTCCTATGTGATCATAAACCTCCAGGGTACAAAGATCTGAAGCAATAGAAAGTCAGACTCAAACACTGAAGGAGGAGGATGGTTGCCTGCACATGGAGAACTGATCCCGATGGGGTTCTCACTCTTGAGTGGCGGCTAAGAAAGCAAAGGAGGGAGGACACTGGCATCCCCTTCCCTGCTCTCAGGGCCTTGTTCACCCCCTTTCTGAAGGCACTGTTCCCCTTTGCCAGCAGCCTAAGCTCTGTAACTTCCCAACAAGGGGGCGTCTTCTCAGCTTCGCAACCTGTGTGTATTCTATTTTTCCAGCTACCTACTGTCTTATCTATACTCTTTCTTTTTGATATTTCCTTGAAAAGCACACAGACATAGAGACAGGCAGCTCTCCCATCTGCTGCTTCATTCCCCAAATGCCTGCAGCTGCTGGGGCTGGCTAGGCTGAAGCCAGGTGCCGGGAACTCAGGCTGGATCTCCCACTTGGGTAGCAGGGACACAAGTACGTGAGCCATCGGCTGATGCCTCCCAGGAAGATGGATCAGAAGCAGAGCCAGTACCTGAACACAAGCACCCTGACATGGGGTGCAGTTTTCCCCGCATGTCTTAGCCGCTATGCCAAATGCCTGCCCCTATGTTCCCCATTAGTAGAGAAAAATGAGCACTACCAGGAGTCTGGGCTCTGGCATCAGACTTCCCGAGTCTGCTCTTCAGTGCTGAGTGACCTTGAGAAAGTCATTTAACCACTCTGTGCCTCAGTTCCCCCTCCTTTAAATATGGTAAGAGAAATTAAATCACACAGTACATGGGAAGTACTTACAGAAGTCCCGGGCATGTGGCAAGTACTCAAAAAGTATTCATTAATTATTTATTTGAACTCCTCAGGAATACGTCACGCCATTCTCATGTCATATCATGTGTTGCTCAAAATCTTAGATAAGCGGGGAGGAGCCTTATGGTTCACAGAGTCCGACTTTCTCATTTTATGGTTGAAGAAACACAGGACCAGGGAAGTTGGGTGACGTGTCTAAATTAGTGGGTGTTGTGGATGCTTTGTGTCTCATAACTGAACTGTGCTCACCCAAGGGACAGAGTAGCCTTGGGTTCTCTCTCTCCATGGACTCTCGCTCTCCAACCATAGGTGCCACTGAAAAGAGCAGTGTTCATAGAACTAGGGCAGGGTGGGCCAGGTAGGAAGGTTGGAGGGACATGGGCTTGGAGGAACTCTCACATACGGCACTTTGGGTGCTTGGGCCAAAGGCCTCACGAACAAACAAGGCGGCCAGGGTAGGCTCAAAGTAGGTTCCTGTCTCCTCCACACACTCCATCCATCGTGGGTGGGCTGGCTGCAGAGGAAAAAACTGGAATGAGTGGCTTTTTTCTTGCCTGTTTCTCTAGGTCAATTATCTCTAAACTTCATCCCCAGTGCATCCTCTCCATACCACACTTTCTGGCCTTCATCTCACTGTATTGCCCCATGGTGACGGTCAAAAGGGTCTATGTCCTCTTCTAGGATCGTCCCTGATCCT